ACTGTCACGGGTTGTCGAGGAATGAGGACAGCAAACGAAGATGCATACTTCCAAACAGACTTTACTGAGAATACTGATTTGGTACAACACATAACATAAGCTAATAACCGACAAAGGATAGAACAGAATCAGGACTATATGTACACACGTGGTAAATGAGGGAACTAAACAGGAACAGCTGGACAAGGATTAACTAATCAGAAACCATGGTAACTAATGAGGGCTCATAACAGACATGACAGGAACTGAACTAAACTGAACATAATCGTGACAGCAACAATTTAGTAAAAATATAAATACATACAAACAAGGCTGCAGTTATACATTAAACAATATTCATATAAAATAGTAACACAAATAAACAGAACGTAGTAGCAAATTCCTAACATCAAAAAACATTTTTTTCAATAAATAATAATAAGCTAAAAAACGCAGCAATAAATTCTTAACATCAAACAAACATCATCTACTACTTGTAAAAACAAATAAAGAAACTAATAAAGAAACAAACAGAAAGCAGTAATACATTTAAAACATTAAACAAACATCTTCTAGTATTATGAAAACAATAAATGAATGTAGTAACAAAAGTCTAGCATCAAACAAACATCATAGACTACTACTAAGTTTAATAAAAAAAAAACACCATCAATTCCTAACATCAAAAAGCATGGTCTACTACTTGTAAAATAAATAAACAATCTAATAAAGAAACAAACAGAAAGCAGTAATACATTTCTAAAATCAAACGAAAATCATCTACTACTAGTATAGGTAAATAAATAAACAATCAAGCATCCAGTGATGAATGCCTAGCATCAAACAAATATATTCTCCCTAATAGAAAATGAAGAAACAAACATAAATACATAATTCCTAACAAACAAACAAATATTATCTACTACTTGAGAAAATAAATAAATAAATAAAATGCAGTAATAAATGCCTAACATCATCCTCACCAGAGCCCAAAAAAGGTAGTCTGAAAAACAATCCCGAACATCTAGACTTTAATCTTACCTTTACCTTGAAAGCAGCCGTGTTTTGAAGTCTTATCTCTTGTTTGCTGTTTCATGTGTATGGAACTTGAAGGCTTTTAAGTGAGAGCAAACGTATTAGATTTTGTAATTACTAGGGCACCAAGCTGTGACTCAAATTATGATTCACAGCAACAGATATGCTCCAAGTTGTTGCATAAATATATTTGCAATGCAACTCAGACAGCAGTGTTTGTTAGTTATCATGCCAGTATTCTGTTATTCTGTTTTCAAACATCTTCCTTTAATAAATGTTGGGGATTGTTTAAAACCAATTTACCACCAATGACTGGGAGGATCATCTGCTTTTCCAGAGGTGCTAGCCAATGGTTTCTGAGTAGGCAAAGTGAACAGAAGCACAATGCAGACAGCGTCCCCTATGTGGCTTACGCACCATTATGACTGGTCATGCGATACCAGGAATCCACTCACAGCGTGTGCTAAGGTCAGGCTGCAGATCTTCCTAATCTGGGATTGTCAATATGGAGCCATTGGCAAGGAGGCTGCTTGTACACAAGGTCCATTTGCGAAGAAAATGCAAGGACCTAAATAAAGAGGTCCATGTGCCAAAAGGAAGCCTTTGCCAAAAAGCACAGATGGTGTGAATGCTTGGTACTTAAATCAATGCTATTTATATGAACGTGACATACGTAAGAAAACAAGCGGAGTGTGTCTGTTAAGTAGCTGCTATGCCGTGTGCCAGTTCTCTGTCTGGCTCTCACATGTGCAAGGCCGGATTTACGCATAGGCATTCTAGGCACGTGCCTATGCTCGCTCGTCCAGGGGGGGCCCAAACACAATGAAGAGATATATAATATTTTTGTTATACTATGGGCTATCTACAACAGTAAAAGAACCAAAACCCCAGAAGACATTGAGCAAATAAATATAACAAACAACAGGGTAAAAAAATGACAAACTATTTCCATAGGCTATGGAAATCACCATTTCTTGCTCCCAGTCTCTCTCACAGATGCACACAGTGTGGGTGGTAATATTAGGCCTATTTTATTATAGAGAAGGGGGGCCCAAAAATTAGTTTTGCCTATGTCACGAAAAGAGGTAAATCCGGCCCTGCACATGTGTACACGAACAAAAACAAGTTGTTACTATGTCTTTACACCACAAGGAGCTGCATCTGAAGCTGCACATATACTAAAAAAGGCACATTCACAATTGCACATGAATTAAAATTGCAGAAATAATGCTATGAAATTATCGTTTGAAATTATGCACACAGATACATCAAATGATTATTGAGAATATTAAATAAAAATAACAATAAAAATATGCATTTATAAAGTATATATACTCATCATGACATCGACTAAGTTTAATGCTTAACTCCTGCTGCATTTCATTTACACAAAAACAAAGCACCAGAATTATTTAATATTAGGGTTTTTATTTACTGCTTAGCTTTACTTAATACACTGTATACATGTTTTGTCAGGCAACTTAAAAATGTGCTTCATGCGGTAAATGTAACATGTAAAGAAAAAAAAAAATGACTGAATCAACCTGAAAATATTAGGTCACATCAACAAAGTAATTTTGAAGGTCAGATCAAGTTTAATTAACTCCTTATGGTATCAACTCCACTGCTACAATGTATTTTTCTCAGCTGGATCACAGCAGTGCAGAGATGACTTAGAAATCTAAGTCATGGTGAACTCCAACCCTGTAATGAAAACCAGTAAGGAACTCAGATAAAACCTCTCCACTCATTCTACCTGTTATCATATCCCAGGAGTTGACATGGCACAGTGTGCAGCCAGGTTTGAAACATGACACCCTCATCGAACCCCTGGAGTCCCGTGGGAGCCCCTCAGACAGACTTACTCAAGCTTCAGAGATGAAAATCAATAAACAATCTGAAGTTCTCAGAAAACATTTGTTTCTGCAGTTTAATGAATAAACAAGTTCAGTGTATCCAGAGATCTAATAATATTAGTACTAATACTAATAATAATAATTTTTATTTATAAAGAGCCTTTCCCAAGCTCAAGTAGAAAATACATAAACACAACTTTGATCATGAATACATCCAAAAATGTAAGAATACATCTGAATATATAAGCGTTTGCTCTCCATCTCATTTTCCTTTTTAAATATTTACATTTAATAATAGGTGACAAGCCTGAATAAACGTAATTTATTTATTTTTTGCTTTGAAATGTGACAACAGCACACCAGAGTGACAATGAAAATTTATAAAACTTCTTAGAGTAATGCTCAAGATCATTTCTTGATACTTTCAGGGCATGAGAATATATACTTGCAGGGCAGAAAAAAATATATTCTCCATTCTTTCTTAATCAATATCACATGAGCAAGAGTGCTGTTGTTATCAAATACCAGCCAACAATAGCTACGGCTGTGATTTAGTCATATTGGTACTGATATTCTGAAAAACAGATTGCAAATGTGATGCTGATTTTGTACAACATTTCATAAAAACATTAAGTTAATAATGAGTAACTTATATTTTAGACAAAATATCGCAGGTTACTTTGTTTAAATTTGCTCCGCCAGTGTTCCAAATAGATGTAGTTTTTTTTTATTTTATTCCTGAATTAAACCATGTTTTTGGCTGAATCGGTTGAATGAATGATTCAATGACTCCCCCATCAAGACAATTACTTGTTCCTCAATGAATCTACATTTTGAATGAACAACTTGAATTAACGATTCAATGACTCATTCATAAAGATGGCATACTGGCATAACGATGTAAGACATATAGTAAGACATTTTTTAAAATAATGCACAATATATACTGTGTGTGTATATATATATATATATATATATATATATATATATAACAGTAACAGAGAAGAGAAAAATGTCACAAACAACACTTAGATTTGTCAAGATGTCAAGTTACTAAAGTCTTCAATTAAAAGTATATACGTACGTCTCATTAAATTATTTCGATACCAAGTCATCTGAACTATGCTGCAAATTTTCTGATAAAAATATATGAGACAAAACTGATGCTTCAGTGAAACATAACTGAGAACTCCACTTGGTTCTAGAGCTATGAAAGAGCAACCTCTGAGGAATAAAATGATCCTCTGGACATTCTCAATGAGCACAATTGGCAGAGATATGTATTTCAGCCATGTAGTTAATCTTGGTAGAAGGCAATCGAATAAGATGAAATATGACAGCGATCATTCTGATGTGACTGAAAAGAACAATATCATAGGACGCTTCAAGCATGAATCCAGCATAGAGAGAAGGTCATGGCAAAAACACAACCTCTTTCTTGAAAAACATAAATAATGGTGGTGCATAATTGGTGAAGAAGATTGACAGGGCGGCCAAAGCGTATAGCAAAGAGGAGCATCTCATCAATGATTTAGAATTTGTGGCTTGTGGTTTACGGGTCATGTTTCGACTTGTTCAAAGTGTCTCTTAGTATTAGGCTAAATGGCAACCAGCATTAGAGCTCACAAGAGCTCCAGGAGAGACACAACCAGAGAACATAGCTGAGATTCAATAGACTCTTGGATGACCAGCTAGTCAACAACTGAATTGAAAGGCAATAACCAGGATCTCTCGCCTCACTCCTGGAATTACAAAACAATGCAGGGGAAGGGACACACATTTGCAGCCCTCCCTGAGGAGTGTCATCTGTCTGAACTTCTTAGCTTTAAATACAAGGGGCTCCAACTGTCTGTCCACATTGGTCTCAGCTGTGGGGATGGAGATAAGCCGGTGACCAGCCACATCCCTGATGGATGCGCACTGACAGACCTAAGTGCACTGTTGGTGCATAAACGTCATCATACCTCTCTGTGAAATCAGCGCAAACAGTCTG